TTTTGGTTAAACTCCTTACAGATTTTCATAACAAAACTGTTGGATTCACAATGGTCAACCCATATTTCACAAATCTGTATAAACTTAACGAGGGAGGAAGAAAATATCTGTAACAGTCAAACAGTATTCCATATGCAATGAACGGATCTATAAAATCCGACTATATAATTCGACTACGAATATAATGATTATAGAAGAAAAAGCTTTTGATATCCAGAAGAAGCAACCTTTACCTGGATTTCACTTGTCTCAGGGAACAGAGATAGATCATTTTCAAAGTAAACTTCAGGAGATCTATCCATTATATTATACTTTTTGCAATATGGCAACCAATGTTTCGCGAACTTAGCAGTCTCCATGAACGCAAACAACGTCAGCTGCGATCCTCCGTCGTCCGACAAATATACAGACAGCTTCTCCGTCGGGTAATCATACGCCAAAAGAGACAACACGGTGTTAAGAACCCCGATTGGTGGTTCCTTGAACGGATCAGCCGTGCAAACAAACACATCCAGCCGTGGGTAATCGCTCTCCTTCGCCACTTGTGGCAGGTTCTCTGGAAAAACCTCGCGGTGCACTGGATTCAGGAAGAAAGGTTGCCATGCCACCCATAGGAAAGCAAGCACAAGATCAGCTACGAGCAGGAAAATGGTGGTGAAAGAAGGAGAGTTGATAAGGTTACAACAATGGCGATAAATGAGTGCGAAAATGGCCACTGCGTAAACCACTGTGTAAAGTCGATTGAACCATCTTGTGGGTGAGGCTCTCTTTGTGTTAAGCGGAGCTTTCAGCATGGTGTTTTGCGATAAGGAGCTTCGATAAGCGAGCTTGTCTCGCACCATTTCACATATCTTCCTATCTTCCTATATAGTCCTTCATTCCGCGTGTCCATTCAACAATCCATTCTCATTCAAAATGAAATTCCTATTTTACCCTTCCTTCTTTACTATATAAATATACTAGGTTACAATCTGTGAAATCTACGGGTAAAAAATTTGTAAAAAAATTATATTATTAATAAGAAGTAAATTTGTTTAACATTTTTATATTTATTATTTAAAATTAATATTAATATATATTTGTACAAAAATATACAAATTTGAATAGATGTTAAAAGAAACACAAGCAAACATTAGAAAAGTTAAATACAAAGATAACTAAAGTGAAAGTTTGCATATTTGAATGTTTTATGAAATGCGAGGGCAAATCAATAATTTTTTGATTTGAGGGAGCAAACAATAAACACCATGATTAAAGTGTGAAAATGAAATATCAAAACAAAATCAATATTATGGATTGCAATGGTATATAAAAAATTTAAATAAAAAAAAAACACAATTGTTTTAATTTAAACACTACGAATGATTTATAAATTTCTAAAAACTTCCTTATACACAACATTGGAAGTTTTGTTTGTAAGTCTACCATCCTTATCTAAAATTAACAATTTCAATCCTTCTCTACTTTGAACTCTCGATAAAGCAACATACAACTGTCCATGTGAAAAAACAGGATCTTTGAGATACAGACCAACCTTTGATAGCGACTGCCCTTGACTTTTATTAATTGTCATTGCAAAACATACAGCCACAAAGAAATTGTCTTCTTTGAAATTTGAAGAGAATTTTTTTTTCAGATGGAGTTAAAGACAATCTTGGAATAAAGGTTTGTTTTCCAATATTAGTTCCAGATATGATAATTGCCTCAATAACACGTTTGCCCAAAGATTTCACTTGTAGTCTGGTGCCGTTACATAATCCATTCTTTTGATCAATGTTTCTAAGTAACATAACTGGAACACCGACTTTTAAAATTAACCTATGATTTGGCAAACCTGATATTTTAAGACCATTTAAAATATCTGGGGAGTATAAATTGGGATCAAAATGATCATGAACAAACTCTGATTGGCAAAGACTATCTGAACTTAAATATTCAACTTCGTCTCCGGGAAACAGTGCTAAAAACGATCATTGATTTGTTGGACAACTTCATTTTTCGGAGCTAGTATAGCTCTTTCTTGAAAATAACTCATAACGTTGAATTTTTCCAAGATTGAAGGATATACAAACTCAATTAATGAACCTATAGGATCATGTGGATCATTAATGAGAATATCATCCGGAACATCAATAATCGCTTCACCATCGTTTGAACCACCAACTTTTCCTTCTCCTATATCCAAAAGCCAGTTTGCAAAACTTTGTATTTTTCGAATATCAGATGGTTCCCTTCCAACGGTTAGTCTCATGTTTATTGTTAATCTATGGACTTTGCATTGTTGCCATATATATGAAGAACTTAAAGAAGCATTAACAATATTTTGTCTACTGCCTCCTTGAACAACAGGTAGAATCTGTCTGAAGTCTCCTCCAAAAACAATCACTTTCCCTCCAAATGGAATTTTTGAGTTGCCAGACTTGTCAAAGTTACATACATCTTTCAGAGCTCGATCTAAAGCTTCAAATGCATGCTTGTGGACCATAGGTGCTTCATCCCAGATAATCAATGAGGTTTTTCTTACTAATCTGCCGAGTTCACTATCAGGCGATATCTTACAAACAGAATCCTCTGTAAGATTCAATGGAATTATAAACCGAGAGTGTGTTGTCCTACCTCCAGGCAATAATAACGATGCAATACCACTTGAAGCAACATTTAAAACTATATCACCTTTACATCTAATTGCTGCAGATATCGTCTTCCAAAGAAAGGTTTTGCCTGTTCCACCATATCCATACACAAAAAAAACACCTCCTTTCTTATCATTGACTGTAGTCATGATATCAATAAAAATATTTCGCTGCTCGTTTGTTAATGCATGAAACATTCGATCAAACTCTTTCTTTAAGATGGGTATGTCATAGTCTAGCTCCTCCGTGATAAGGCGATTTGTTGAAGAGAAACCATATCAGTATCAGGGTAAGGCATTTTGTTATAATTTTTAAGACTGGTGTTGTTACGAAGTAAAATCTGTTCGATCTCAAACAAAGTCAGGTTTTTAAGTTGATCCTCATTGAGTGTTAAACCTGTAAAAATTATGAATATGTAAAAAACAATATAATATTAAAAACATTAATTTTTATAAACAAATTTGCACGCTGCATATTGAAAATATATAATATTCATTTTTAGAAATAATGTTAAAAAATTATAATACCTGGAGACTTTAATGTACGTTGCTGGTTGTAAAGAATACCATCTGACAATAGTTGCCATGTATTTTCCCAAACAAACTCTGGTCTACCCAAACTGTCAGACATTAACATCGTAGCAAATAAGAAACGCAGATAAAAACCACTTCCTGAATGACTTGCTTCCTTAATTGCTTCGACATATTCTTTGTCGTCGTCTAAGAGGCCCAAAGCATAACATGCATCTCGAAAAGTAGGAAATTCTTCACCATTTACCGTACGAATTTCTTCAAATGATTTTGGACCTTTCACTTTATTTAAAAGAATTCTTAGGAAGTATATTTCACCAAGTTTAGGTGAAACAGAGTGAATCCTTCCTATTGAACGTCCAATTTTCCTTGGCTTCCACAACTTATGATTAGCTTTCCAAACGAACTTTGTCGGAAATTCAACATATGTAAGTTTTCGTGCATCTTTATTAATTTTATTACATTCCATCCAAGATGTGAACATAGAAGCAGCAACTGAAGGTTGTTCAAGAACATCGTCAATATCATCGTCTGCAGCATATATAAGTTGTTGTTGATTAGGAAGATGAAAAGGTAGTCGCATCACAGAAGGATATCGGTAATGAACATCATATTTAAATATTCGCCATGATGCTTCACATGCAGATAAATATCTACAATCATAATAATCTTTTATTTCATCGACAACCTTTTCTTGATGAGAATCAGTGTTGATGTCAACAGCAACTGTAGCTCTATCTGGACCTTTGTTTATATATTTAAACAGATACTTTATGGAAGATCCTTGATTGCACCATTCAACATTAATATGTGCCTGATATCTTTTCAACAGATATTTGTTATATGGAACAACATTTCTGTTGTCTAACTTGACACCTGATTTTTCGACAAAATATCCATTGTTTCTTCTCATATATAAGGGATAACCGTTGTTATCAACTGAAGAATGATTACAGAATTGCTTTGGAAAATTTTTCGAACATTGCCTGTCAACCATACATGGGCAATTCATATTTTCAGCTCCACAAGGACCATGTATCATGAATTCACTTACAAGTGAATACAACTCTGGCTCTTCATTGATATTTGGAATCTCCGCGGAAATTATCGGATCAATATATTCAACAGTAGGCCGCTTGGAGTCAGGATGCATAAATAGACAAATATGACTATGTGGCAAACCCCTTTTTTGAAATTCAATTGTATAGACAACTGCAAATAAATTTTACAAAAAATATATGATTAGTAGTGAATGAATTATATTTGCAACTAATAAATAATGTTAAGAAACGAAAAAAGAATAAAAAATAAATTTTTATTAAACAACAACTTTCAATACCTGCTTGAACGATGCCGAAAATTTTATTTTCCCGTATGTCTTTAATAAAAGCATCAAGCTTTATTTTGAATAGCCTACATAAGATATCAGGTCTATCTTCAGGATGCAATGAAGTGTTACGAAGAAACCTTTTAACTTCAGGCCATTTTGGGTTACATGTAAAGGTTATGAAGAAATCAGGATATCCAAACCATTTACATAAGGACATGGCGTCAAGGTAGTTTTGCATCATATAACGTGCACCGCCAGTGAATGAGGTAGGTAAGATAACACGTTGTCCGACGTTGGATATATCTCTATTCCCGAGGTCTTGTTGATTACGTAAAATCTCATAAGACTCGCATCTAAGAATTTGTTGTTTGCTCCTTATGAAATGTAATCTCTCGCTTTCAATCATAGTATAAGCGTCTACCAAAAACTGTTGGAACAACCTTTTTGAATTAAGAATTAGTGAAAAATATTGATCCCTGTCCTGTATTCTATAAGAAAAAAATTCTCTCATTGTACAGTTGGGCCGCTTGCTGTTGCTTGAAGATGTAATACCTCGATGTGGTATGTCAACTCTGTAACCATCATCACCATATGGAAAGAGTAGTGGATATTGAAGAGGAAGGTATGATGGATGTAATTCACTAATACGCCGTAGAGAACCAGATGAAGTTTGAACAACAATATCTCTATTATCAATTGAATCACCAATATCTCCAACAATCAAAGCTGCTACCTCAGAAGCAGACGGTAGGTTGTATGTCCTTCCATCTTGGTCCCTTCTTCCAATAATTCTCAACTTGATATCAGCACAAGGATTTTCATTAAAACAATCTCTAACCATCCTATAAGATTGAACCAAGACATTATTTGAATCTAACATCAATTTCAAATCTTGTATAATATCATCATCAAGGATAGAAGAATTTGATGTAGATCGTTGATTTTCTCCACTGCAAGTACCATTAACAGATAAACATAAGATAAATAAAGAAAGTATTACTGATCAATAAGATATATATTAATATTAATGTGATAATATAGAAAAGTGTACCCCAAGCATGTTCGTCTATTTGCGATTTCATTATCAGTATCGTATATGTACAACTGAGAGAATTTTGGTTTAAATCCCTGATTTGGTAAAAGGCTTCCGATACTATGATAATTTTGACCACTAAGTCTAAAAATGTATGGAGCATTGCCTCTATTGATTGAGGAATCAATTTTGTCACCCATCGACGTAAAAGAAAACATAGAATTGTACGAACGAATGTTCTTCATGAAATATTTGCTTTTAGAATCTCCAGATTTAAAAAGAATTTCATAACTTGGAGGTGCATTCTTTAACTCTGGAAGTTCAACTTTGCCATAACCACAACATAGAGAATAATTTTCATTATCCTTTTTTCTACATTTGATAGATTCATCTTTCCATAATTTTGCAAAACATGTTTGGCATAAAACATTCTGATCACCATGATCCAAATAATCTGTGAATTAAGTTTTACATAAAAAGTTAATATTGTAAGTTTAGATAATTGAAAATGATTGGATAAACAACTGTAAATTTTATACTTTTTAAAAATTTACCTTTTGATATACCGTTGTATATGTTTTGATTACTTTGACCATCATTGTTGTCTTGATCGGATGTCAAACCAATTATTGGAATAGGAGATAAATTTGCCCTTTTTTTGTTTTTATTACGATTAGGATTGGTAGACATGACTGAAGATGATCTCTTTGTTACTGTAGATGAGTTGTTTGATGTGTCACCATTTGAAATTACAGAGTATTGTCGAATATTTGGTAACGGTGATTGAAAACTGTTTTTTGAAATATCCATCGCTAGGGAAAAAAGATTAAAAATATGCATTGTTAAATATCATAGAATAAAAATATATATTATTAGATGAAATGGTACAATAAATGACTTACCATTGGAAATGTTAGATAACAGAGTTCTAACATTTAAATGTGAAGGAGGATTTTGTAAAATTGATTGTTTTGACATGTTTACAGTTGATTCAGATGAGGTTATGTTTTTATTTCGACGAACAACTCCGTTGATTTTGTCTGTAAAAAATATGTTAATGAGAAATGAGTCAATATTTAATATGAAATAATAAGTTTTAATTTATATTTCTAAACAAAGATAAAAAATTTAAGAGCAATCAAGTATGTTACCGTTTGAATCCATTCCGATGTTTGGTAACGGTGTTTGAAAACTGTTATTGGAGATATCCATGACTGGGAAAAGAAGTTTGAAGGTATACAATATTAAATATGATACAATGACAATATATGTATTATAAAATAAAAATATATATGAGATACCATTGGAAATGTTAGATAACGGAGTTCTAAAATTTAAATATGAAGGTGTTTGTAACATTGGTTGTTTTGACATTTTCCCATTTGACATAGATGTGCATACGTTTTTGTTTCGATTGACCACTCCTTTGAATGTTTCTGTAAAAAAATTGTTATAAGAAATGGATAAATTATAAATAAAAGTGTAATTGTTTGAAGGTTAGAAAGAAAGTGTAAAAACAATGATGTATGTTACCGTTTGAATCGAAGCTGATGTTTGTTGACGGTGATTGAAAACTGTTATTGGAAATATCCATGACTGGGATAAGAAAATTGAAGGTAAACAATATTATATATGATACAATAAGATTGTCAATTATAAAAATAAATTAAACAAATAAATGACTTACCATTGGAAATGTTAGATAAAGGAGTTCTAACATTTAAATGTGAATGATGATTTGGTAACATTGATTTTTTTGAAACATTGGCACTTGATGTAGATGCGGATACGTTTTTACTTCGATGGACAACTCCTTTAAATTTGCATTGAGAAAAAAAATTATAAATAAAATAACTTATAAATAATATTAGAAATCGATAAATAATATATGAATATTAATATTGATAAATACATATTACTTTAAAAAAGCATTTCAAATTAATTACTTTTATATTTAACTGATAAAAAAATATGTACATGACTTTAAGTAGGTTATCTATTAATTTCATTTTCAAAAGATGTGACATAGATGAAATTGAAAGGATTCATTTGGTCATACCTTTTTTTTTATTGTCCAAATATAATTTTCTTATTCTTCTTTTTTCTCTAGCCTGAACATGATAGATGTTTCTATCTGAATCTGTATAAGCATATATATATATATATATATATATATATATATATATATATATATATATATATATATAGAGAGAGAGAGAGAGAGAGAGAGAGACATAAAATAGTTATAATTAAGATTAAATTTTTTTATAAAGAAAGTAATAACATATTAATTGAACGTACCGTTAGCACCCGGGTTACTAACATTTGTAGAAGATAGAATTTGATCGACTGATGTAGTGTACATCGGTATATGTTTTGTATTATCAAGATAGAAATTATTTAATTTTATCTTCTTATTAGTCTTGTAAACATCCATGTTAATTGTTAGTATCTGAAATATAAGAAAAATAAGAGAAAATATATTAATGGTAATTTTTGTACTGTAATATACTACAAACCTGTACATCAGAATTTATTTTGCCTTTATTTTGTTTATATTTCAGATTCATTGAGGGGTTACACAAAGAAAGCTAAAAGTACAATCAAAATCAATACGAATAGAAATAAAATTTTATATTTATGTTTTTTGAGTTCGGGGGCATTTCTGTGACGTTATAATGACAAATACATTTTTCTATCAGTTTTTTGTTATATTTTTTCTTCTTTATTATTAGTTGATTGTATTTTGTATTACTTGACTGGTAGGTTCTATTTTGAATTAAGGGGTAGTTCTGTCATGTTTCACAGAATTACATATTTGTCATTGATTTGAACCGGTTTACACCAAAAAACATATTAATCAAAGGGAAATAGGATATGATGTAGGCTTAAACAGAACCATTTTTAGTTGTTAATATTACTGAATACGAAATTTTCGTTTTTGCATTACCCTACTACTATTTACTTAGCATTAAACTTTAATTCAATGTCACTTAATATGTTCATCCATGTTTTATTCATGTAGGTTTTTATACAATCTTTACACGAAAAACGTCTATCTAAACATCAAGCATATGAAAGTGGACCAGGTGTAAAAAGTATTTCATATTTCCTAATGGCCGATGTTTAGCAGTTCGTAGTAACAACCATATGTTTAGAGTAAAAAAAACAATGATAAGCAGAATTTAAGTCGCAGAATTCAGAAGAAGAAAAGAATTTTCAATTGTACGATTAACACAAACATTGAGAAGCAATCATATATAATCATGAGAAACTTACCGAAGGAAAAAAGTCGGTGATTGAATATCCGAAATTAAGAAACAGAATTGAGATGCAGAGAGTGTCCTTTGGATTGAAGTATGTAACTGAATATTCGAAATTCAACTTACGTGAGATTATTAAGATTAAGATCCATAATAACCACACAATGCTGTAAAGAAATACTGATTATCATATGTTTCAAATATATACTGACAAATATATACTGACAAATATATGATCAAATCGACATAATAATGAAAATTAAATGTAATAGATATGATTGATATGGATACCATAAAAAAATGCTCTTAATCAGGTAATTATATAATTTCCATATTGAATATCGATTTCTAAGTGAAAGAAATAAATGGTAAAATATGGTATTTTATATTTGTAAAATACGTTTTATCTGCATAATTTGCTTAAATGTGATTTATTTTAAGAAGTTTCGAATCATAATACCTGTCATAGTGGTATGTGTTTTGAAAAAAATACACCTGTGTCAAAAAACCTAACACATCACATGGAATGAACCGGCGAGGGCATATTAGTCTTTTGCATATATATATATATATATATATATATATATATATATATATATATATATATATATTTTGGCCAAAAAGTGTTATGTACTTTGTATCGATTCAGAAACAGAAAGATATATTTAAGTTGTGAATGATCCAGATCAATATGAACATTCCGGATGCAATATTTGTAAATAAAAAAAATTGACATGTTATTTAGGTCTACCAGAGGAGACAATAAATTCACAATTATTTTGTAATGTAAAGACTGAAAATTGCAGAGGTTAACAAAAGGATTGACAAAGGCCAAATTTGACATCTGATGCTTATCCATTCTATCCACTGTTACACATTCAAATACATAGACATATCTCATGTGACAACTTCATTACAATGTACATTTCTAACATTACATATAATTTTTGAAAAACATATTCCCGTGATGCATGCACCGATTTCATGTGCATTTGATATACCACTTTTTTTTAATTTATTCATATTTGATACATGTTTTTTCATATAGCTAATTTACTCATAACACGAAAAAGAAAAGTACACTGCTTTATTTGCACATGAAAGCTAATTCTGTCGAATTATTTTTGATATATCTATGCATAATTAGAATCTTTATAATCATAATTGTTAAGTATTCAAACTTTCATCAGTAGACACACTTATGACACACATATAAAGGAAGGCTTAAAGTACAAAACAGACATCGAACAAAAAGAAAAGTTATTGCTTACCTAAAAGCTTAACATCCATATTTATTACGCCAACAAATCACTTTAAAATTGGATTATTCTAATTAAAGTCATAACCCAAAAAAATAGTTTTTTACTTCAGATAGAGATTAGAAACAAAAAGAAACCAAGAACTATGAATGTTTGAATACTGAACACCACGAAGAGCAAAACTGCCAAACAGAATCCCAAAAAAAAAAAAAATTCAAGAATATTGTTGATTCAAAAAGTCCAAACTGAAATCACTTTTCAAGTTTTGGTATTAAAAGACCTGTGTTGCCATCGACCTTGGAATTCAAGCGCGGTATTTTTGTAGACGAATTGACATTATCATATTCATCAACATCAATTGTATCTCCAACGTTTCGTTTTTTTACATTTGGGGGTGAATTAAACTTGAAGGGACTTGTAGCTTCTGATTTGTCGGGCATGGAAGGCGTCAAATTATCACCGGTCTGTGAGATGGCGTCCTTGAAGCAAAATCAGGAAATAGATTTAGTACGAAAATAATAACAAAAAATATTTGATAAAAAAAATTTATATAAAAATAAATAATGTAGTTTTATAGGCTAACCTTCAACGACTTCGTTTCGTGAGATGCTTCGTGAGATGCGATTTCTGTATCATCAGGATTTCCAGAATTACCTGCCTGCTTTAGGTGCATAAAAAGTATGTATTATCATTTGTGGGTTTAAGGTTTTATTCCATCAAGATTTACAATTAATTAGTAATTAGTAAAAATCATTAAATAAAAGTGTGCATCATAATTTCCAAAAAAAGATGTATATAAATACCTCAACAGATAACTTTTTTTTCCAAAGCATTGATAACGTTACTATCAAGCTTATAGCCAAGTATCCCAAACCGATTGTAGTTATTGGATACGTTGAATCTATTAACATCTATCTTGAATGCCATCTTTTTATGTACCAGACATTTGAGGTCATAAGGATACATTCTCGGATTATCCCCAACCTGGAAAAAATGTCTTATGTATTATTGTTATGGTTAAAAGCAAATTAATATTAATTAATACAAATAAAATGAAACAAATAATAGAATTTAATAAAACATATATTATACTTAAGTTATACCTGTTTGATTTTCTCTATGAGCTCACTTGCACGTTGTTTGACAAGTCTATAAGCATCTCTATCAAACAGAGTTAGTGTGATTGTGCCAGAATCATCTTGGACACGAATATGTATTTTATACCTACAAAAATATCCCACATAAATTTATATTAAATATGTTTAAGTTTAACTATACATTATTAATGATTAATAATGTATTTAATTTGTCCGGTTAAGGTTTTGGTAAATGTAAAAAACCTTGGAGCTGAAGAAATCTCCTTTTTTTTACACTTATCAGTAGAGCATTCAACAACCACACTTGCATCACCACTATTTGGACCGCTAAAAACATCTCTTCGATCAACTTTCTTTCCACAGTTTGAACACGCATCATAATACCAATCAATATCTTGTCGTATACCGTAAATTGTACCAACAATGATAAATTTCCCGACCTAAAAAAATATAAAATACAAAAAGATTCATAAAAAAACAATGCAACTACAATAAATGAATAATATAAAACAAAATCACATTAAATAAACCAAATTATTGACATACCTCTTGTGGTTCTAGCAAATCGACAACATTTTTAACTTTGTGATTATTCAAAAAGTCTTCATATTCATTGTATGATTGAGAGCTATCAAAAGTCAAAGAAGAAGAAGGGTTTTGAATTCTTCGTAATCCAACCAAGCTGTTTTTTTATTTAGGAAAATAATTATGAAATTAGTAAAATTATTAAAAAGAAACAAAATAAGAATGAATAATTAAAATAGTTTGTTACCTATCTGTGAAGGCCACAATTTCGGGAAGATCAGCATTTATGAACATACGTGTGTGATCAAAATAATTGTTAACAGAAGGAATTCCCGTTGAAAGAAAATAAATTAGTCAAAATAATGAGTAATAAAAAAGCGTAAAATAACGAAGGTTGCCTTTTATAAGAACTGTACCGTTATAGACATTAAGTCTTGCAAACTGCAAAATAATAACCACACGACCAACTTGTTTATGAGCTTCAAGATAAGAAATCACTTGGTATGCGAAATCTGCAAACAATGTGACGTTAACTTGCAAACCTCTGCAGAAACAGTAAAGGTTAAATGTTTATATAATAATAATAATAATAATAATAATAATAATAATTTAATATATAATATAATAAAAGTTATAATTACTCTAAGTTTCTGATTTGTAAAGTTAGCCTATGTTTCGATTTGCTAACATCACGGGAATCCAGCTTGCCTAACGAAACAACTTCACCTATAACATCTACAAAATGATAATACAATATGTCAAATTTATGTAAAATTAAAAAATTAAATATAAAATGCAATAAAATAGGGGGAAAAAGTACCAATTGAGATATTAGATGTAGTTGTCGCAGAGATAATGGTTTCACATTTAATAACCCTTATGATCATGCTTACATTTCGGGTTCGAATCCCTATAAAAAAGAAACTGAAAAGCTACAAAATTCATAATAACCAGGAAGAATCCCCGTTTTGCGGGGTTAGATACACCAAAAAAATGTCCACCAAAGGGCTAGAAGTTTCTAGCCCAGCGGTACCGGTTGTTGCATTCTCTTCTAGAGGTTGAGGATTCAAGTCTAATCGGAGACATAAGTGGAATTAAGAATAGTTTAGAAGTAGAGTAGATTTGCTGTTCTTAAAAAAAAAAAAACCAAAAGAATGCCGAAATTGGGCCCATTCTTATCGGTGACTTTAGCTCTTCAACTCGATGGACTGTGTTTAATCGCTATAAAGTCGGTTCTGATTGTCCTTTTACATTCTTTTCTTTCGTCACAATCGCAACTTTGTCTAGGAATCTGAAATGCTCAAAGGGTAAAATAGTCATTTACTTACATTCAAATGAATCGAGTTATTGAGTTTGTCTAATTTTGGACTAAACATTGAACAAATGAAAAAAATATATGGACATTAATGTAATTTACTCTTGTATGAGTAAACTACATTAGAAAGATATAAGTTGCTTTGCTTTCTATATTCTTTAGGCACTATAGTGTTAAGTTTTAGAAAGATATAAGTTGCTTTGCTTTCTATATTCTTTAGGCACTATAGTGTTAAGTTTTGGATGTACATTTTTTAAAGTACAATGTTGTAACAGGAAGAAAAGAAAGTAGTATGGTATTAAAAACAAACGAAAGAAAGTCTATTGTTTTTCTTGCATTTAACAAAGAGAATCACGGTAATGATTACTAATCTTTACAGACTTTCCATGGAGACCATTTTTTAAGGGGTTGGCCAAATGGACACCCCATTTTGCCATTTAGATACCCTATATAATTTTTAAGGTATTTTTATTGGTTAAAATTACATTGTTTTTTAAAAAAGATGATTAAAAATAGTTACCTATTGGTTGACTTTTGATAAAGATGTCTATATGGTGTCTAAAGGGTGTCTTAATAGCAGCACCCTTTTTTAAAGTCTTAGGCTATACGGTATGAAGTTATGGTGGCTACGCGTGGGGCTTACGTGGCAAGGCCACCTACGCGTGAACACCGCCCCAGGCGCGCGTAAGTGCCTTGTGGCGTAGTGCATATCACGGACGAAGACAGCCAATTAAAACAAGAGAGAGGGTAAAACGACTATCTTTTTGACCGTTTGAGTTTACAAAAAAAAATTAAATTAAATTTTAAATTTAAAAAACACCACCTTTTATATATATATATATATATATATATATATATATATATATATATATATATATATATATTCACTCTTCATTTTACACTTCTAAATCCAAAAAACTACTCCTATTTCTTTCACTTTTCTTCAAAAAAAAATGGATCACAACCAAAATACTCCACCCACTCCAAACACTCCAAGTGATTATCAAGCTTATATGCAATTGTTGAATTCTCCAATCCAACAACAACCTTTATTCACTAATCTTCATTACAACCCACAATTCTTCCAACAACAACGACCACAACAATAATTCACTCAACCTCAATTCATTCCCCAATTCCAAGGTTTCCAACAACAAGCTTCTCCACAATTCCAAACACAATCATCTCAAGTCCCATTATCTAAATCCCAAACCGTGAACCTCGACAACAACGATGTATTGTCCAAGAAACACCACAATCATCTCGAAGAAGGCAACCACAAGGAAAAGGGAAAAAGAAAGCAACGACTTGAAACGAAGAAGAGGAAGAAGCTTTAGCAAAAGCTTGGATTTTCATATACTGTGATTCGAGAAGAGGCAACGCGCAATCTGGAGAAAGTTTTTGGAATCGTGTTTTGGATCACTTTCACGCGCTACTTGGAAGGAAAACGGATCGGTCGTACGATGCGGTCAACGGAAAATGGCATGATCTTCGCGCGATTTGCACAAAGTTTAATGGTATATTTGAAAATCTAAAAAATATCCATAAAAGTGGTTCGAACGATTTCAACATTTTATGAACCGCGTGCTACCAATTCAAAGTGACCAACAACGATAAACCATTTGGTCACCAAAAAGCATGGGAAGTTTGCCGTCAAGGTCCAAAATGAGTCCTTAATCCGGAGACATCGCATTCGGACTCGACCACCGGCTCCAACAAAAGACCAAAAACTTCTGAATCGGACACGGGTTTTGGGTTAGACCTCAATGATTACGTCGATGTTGCCGAGGGAGAGGGTCCACCTGAAGTCCAACTCCGTCGACCACCGGGAAGGGACAAAGCAAAACGGGCGGCGTCTTCAAGCGGGAAAGCAACCACAACTAGCGACGACGGGCTTGTGGAATTCATAAATAAAACTTTAAGTTTTCTAGAAAGAAAATACGAATCCACGGAGGAATCTCCTCGCCAAAAAATCGCTCTTACCGATCTTCAAATCATAAACTCGAAGCCCCTACCGGATCTCGACCCCGAAAATCTCGCGACATTTCTCAAAATCCAACAACGTGTCCGTGCTAAGTATGGGGATTAGGTTATAATATTTATGTTTTAGCTGTTATGTTGTGTGTTTTTTTTAAGTAATTTAGGATAAATAAATAATTTAGTTTTTTTTTTAAATATTTTAGGATTTGATTTTGTGTGTTTTAAAATTAATGAAATGTGTTTTAATTTAGTGTTTTTAATGTGTGTTTTATTTGAATTACTTTATTTAATTTACTCTAATATTGTCAAAAAAATAAAAAAGAAAAAAAAATGATGTGGAGTGGTAACCATTTCCAAGGGTTAATGGGTTGGTAGTGAGTTTGTAGTGGAGGTGATGTGGCGTTATTTTTTGAGTAGGTTGGGTGTGACCATACCCCTTAGCCTTAGAGCTACGCATGCAAGTAGAGCCGACCTATAAAGAAGAAAAAAGAAAAAAAAATTACATATTTGAATACAATCACGTGATCATCAGTTGTATGCTGTAAATAATCTTTTCAGATTAGAACACCCACAAACAACCCAAATTTTGAAGTATTGACATAAATTGTGCAATATTGCGGTATGTGAATCCAATGAATGCATTAAATACAAACACGATACAATCATCATGGAAAAATCTATCAAAAGAAGCTATAATTACATCACCTGGGTTCATTTACTTGTACATTATGTTGAGTGTGTTGCACCTACCAATCAGCATCTTTCAATCGCACTATATATGTATGTCATCATATAGTCAAATACTTTTTATGATATCATAAGACAAATGGACCAAAAACAGAAAACCTTACTATGTAATTGTGTATACATCTTTTTTCATTTGCTTAAAAAAATAAAGACATCACAGACCAAATCAATAGATTCAACTTCAGAAAGTAGTATAAAAGAAAAGCAGCCTGAAATTAAAAATTATTTACAAATGTAAGTGTAGCAAATATAAATTAAGAAACCAAGACATCACAGTAACTAAGTTGAATGTATGAAATTTAAACAAAATGGGAACATATTAAATACAAATATACTTGTAAACACATAATAAAATATGCCAGAAACGCCTTTAAATATGGGATTCTTCTTGCAGACATGTTAGTTTATTCTTCATTTCACTGTACATCTATATTGGCTATTTTTGTGACGTTTTTATACAATTTTGAAAGTTAGTTTATCACAAGAGATTCCAGCAGCAGGATTTATAAGCTTGAGTATGGGAAGCTTGGCCTGGGTCAAAGCCTGTAGAAATAGGGGCAAAATGGGCATTTATGGATTGATTTCTTTTTTTTTTTTTTAACTTTAAGTTTGACATTGAATTTCTTAAATTGTAATAATACATTTGAAGTTGGACAGTGTCAACAAAAACAATTACAACTTACGTAAAATGACCATTTTACCCTTTTGTGTATGGAAGTTCAGACAAGATGGACCTCATCATTCAAAATTTAATCCTAAAACTGGAATGATGAGGTCCAATTCTGTGATATTTATCCTTTGCTTGAAGATCCATTTACTAAAATAAGACAATAAACAACGGAAGGAATACTTGTAAATGGTTAAAACATTATAGACAAAGGAATGTTAAGATATCTTTATTGTGTAACAACAATCCAACAATAAAAATAAACCAAAGTATAACATTTTATAATTGGACATATTTTTCAAAGTATATTACCCTAATAAGGAAAAAAAATTGAAAGTACTCTACTCTATTAGTTAAATTCTTACAAATATAATGAATGAACACAAAACCATTTTCTGTACTTTTATACCCTTATATTTTTAAAACTTCAAAAGTCCTAAAAGTATATACATATACATGTCCAGAATAACAGATTTTAGCATTCTACTTTCGTTTAAAAGAATCAATAAAAGATTGGTTGCAAAGTAAATACCTTTACATAAAAAACGCTATAGGCTATAGCCTATACCAAACTTAAAAAGATTACTATATCAATATGCAACAAAAAGTTACCTTTCTTCTCATTAAAAGTACCAAAACCTTGGTTTAAATCAACACACGGCGCGTACGCTGGGCGTACGTCTCACTACCATGATTTGAGGCATTGTGATTAACCAAAATGCAACAATGCTTGGGTCTTTCATGTTGTCAATAATATGCTGAAATAAAAAACATATGTTTTCAAGTGAGAATAATTGTTACAAGAGGAAAAGTGGAAAAGGTTAGAATTGTAATTTGCACATACCTCATAAGGGTAGTCCATTTTTTTCATTATGTTGTAAGCTTTCCATGGTGGCTCGATAACCTGCAGAGTGGATAAATTAGTCTTTGCTTAAGAACTTGTACAAATCACAGTTTATTATCTATAAATAATAATAATAATAATACAAATGTAGTTACACTTAATTACAATATGATTAGTAACTTAAACAGAACACAATATTAAATCATAATCTTGTTAATAAGTTTAACCCGAGCATAATAGTTTTTTATTAGCTGGAAAATATATAACTCAATATTGAACATATTATAAGGATACTCCTAATTTTTGATTATTTAAAACTAAGTTTATGAAGTTT